TTCGCATGTGTAGTACATTAAACATGATAACATACTTATTAACTGAGGGTCAGGTCTTCACGTGAAAATCTCAAACTGAGGCCTTGCCGTATTGACCGAGCGATAGCGCGGTTAATACGGCAAGGGCGAGGTTTAAGATTTTTTCGTTAAGACCGAACGTTCGAGGTAAATAAGTTGTTTATTATATGGCTTTTTCCTTTGGTTTTGCAGGCCCGTAATCGGCCCCGCGTGGGCATTACAGGAGAATAATACCCTTGAACTAGATATAGCCAATCAGAGCGCGCCATATAATAAACATTGATTAATGGAGAATCTGTTTGTTTTCCAACCTGACAAAACTTTGCCTTGTTCCAAAACACTTTTAAGTTTGTAAGGCTTGGTACAATTTGGAAGAAAAAAAAATTACCGTGCGCACTTGTATCACTGATCTGATGACAGATGTTTTACACAATACCCAAAAAATATGCATTGTGCAAACGGGCCTGAAACCCTTGCGAATTTTGCAGTTCCCTATATTTAGTCAAACCGTTGTACTATTTGTCATTATGTAACCGCGAGTATTCACTAACCATTCACTGAGTTCGCTATTCGAGATCCAACTTCCAAACTAGAGAAAAAAATGAAAACGAAGTCACGAAATTTAGAGTTCATTGCTTTGACGCGTTTCAAAGTTATGGGTGTTCAAAGTATCCTTGCTTTCGATCACCTATTCATTCTAGTACAGCCGCTCTCTATGGCAAGCTCACATATATGTTTTACTGCAATCCGTATTTTCAAGCCTAAATATAGAAAATTTTCTAAAAATCAGAGTAATAAACCTAGAGATCATCAGCTCGCATTGTCAGTGTGGTTCTGAATATGGGCTCTCACCACACTTATTGACAATTGCGCAAGCGATTCGCACCGCCGAACAAAACAGCTTGCGGAAATCACATCACAAAACATGGACTGGAAAATAAGCCAGGTTTATCTAAGAACTTAACGCCCCGTTCACACTACGCCGAAGAAATTTGAAAAAGGAGGTCTTACTCCGAAAGACCTGATGTTTTCCATCCACATTACGCCGGAGAAATTTGAAAACGGTATTTTCACTCTGAAAACGCCGCAAATGTATTCCGTCCACACTACGCCGGAGAAATTTGAAAACGCGACAATCACTGATAATTTTGAATTTGTGTTTCTGAAGAAGGTGGACAGGGAAATCACATTTCTATCGTAATGTCATCGCGTTTTGGGAAAGCTCTGTTTTCAAAATGTATTCCGTCCGCAATAGAACGCAAAGCCAGCGTTTTCAAATTCCTCCGGTCTGAAGACCGTTTTCGAAAAGCTCCGTTTTTGTGACAGATTAGTGTGGACGGTAGGCCTAACCGTAGAAATAAAGCTGGGTTTTCAAATTTCTCTGGCGTAGTTTGGAGGCTGACTTATTTTCAGTTTTCCTGGAGTGCTGAAATAAATTAGATACCCTTATTAATTTATGAGACTTTTTATCACGATCGACCCAATCAAGAACCAAGTCAGTGATTGCTTCATTAAGGGTCAGGTGCATGGCTCCACAGGGTAACCGTTTATCGCGTTGCGCGCCCTAGCGCTAGTGTTATGTTGTGAAAGCCGTTTTTACATTCGTTTTGACTCCCAGTTCTTGAAATAGTGTTTAACTATCAACTCTGTTAAAATCTTGGCCTTTAGTCTTGAATTATAAATGCCCAAACAAATGCTTTTATTTACTATTCATTAGGCTTTATTTGCAATTTTCTTGAATTTTCTTTGATGCAATCAACCAAACCTTTCACAGAAAATCGAATCCGGCGGGATGTGAATTTTAAGTCCCAAAAAGTAGACTTTGCACAGGCAGTTTGTTTTCTCTATTTTTTGTAAATTTATGTCTTAAAACGCCGCGGAAAAACTGGTCAGATAGATTTCCCTGAACAATGAGCGGCCAACTAAAATAAAATACTTCTTACCAATCTCCCAAATGTCACGGAATTTCACGGAACGAAACGCAAGAAAAGTCACTGTCAGTTTTGCTTTTTGTGCTCATGTTGACGTCATAAAATATCGAAAAACACTGACTGGGTTTCCTTTGAGCGGGCACAGATTACTTGAGCTTTCGTCTTCAGCGGGAGTGCGATCGTAAAACTCTAGGGAATACCTTAACAATCCCTTTAACGAGGTAGTCTCGTTTTGCAGGCTTTTTAATTTTTTGTCAGATTGTCGAGGTTCAGTTTTCTTATTGTAGTCTGATTTGTCGACAGGATCACTGGAGTACATCCACTGGAAATCCTCCTAAAGATGGAACACAAAACTACGACCTCATTGCCGCAAGTGAAAGTGGCTCAACTACTGTTGTGGAGTTCTCCAGAGATGCTATTACGGGAGACAATGCGAAAGATGTGCAGTTTATGGTACGACTCCATTCTATTGTAAAATTTTTCATATTATGGAAAAGTGCAAAGAAAAATTATTGGTTTAAGGCCTATATGGGGGATTTACTCTGTTACCTTGATAATCTCTTGTAGGAGTTCAATCTTAAGTTCTCCCTCAGAATGTTACACGTTACGTTTTTGCACGAATTTTTCGTTTTAATGGAAGGAAAACCCAAAACCCCTCCCCTCTCCCCCTCCCAACAACGGTCGTACATTTTGCGTTGTGTAGCAAAAGTCTATAATTATAGGGGATCAATCTTAAGGGCTCCTAACAACGTTACAAGTTCTTTTTTTGTACGAATCAAACCCAAACCCTAACTCCCACAGTACCTCACTCCTCCCCGGCTCCAGTTGTTCAAAGGGTGGATAACGCTACCCACCGGATAAATCACTATCCAGTGGATAACTGCTCACAAAACAAACCGCACTATCCGCTGGATAGTGATTTATCCGGTGGATAGCGTTATTCACCTTTCAAACAATCCGGGCCAGGTGTGTAAATGATTATCGGCGATTATAATGTTGGGTTAGCGTTTCACCTTTCTGCCTGAACCATTCCAATATATAGAAAAAAAACGAGCAAGATTTCTATTTCTGGAGACGAAGAGCCATTTTTGAATCAAACTCGACTATGGTACAAGCTGCAATTGTTTTTTTACTACAATCTTTATCTACAGCTGACTCTTTTGCTTTGCAGAATGACACTGAAGTCAAAGTTGTATATGCTTACCACACCNCTATGGTACAAGCTGCAATTGTTTTTTTACTACAATCTTTATCTACAGCTGACTCTTTTGCTTTGCAGAATGACACTGAAGTCAAAGTTGTATATGCTTACCACACCAGCAGTGATGCAACTGGTGGTCTAACAAGGCACACTAACAGGGGAATTTTAGACGGAAAGCACAACCTGATAGTGATGGCAATGTCCGCCATGCAGCCATCTTCCACAGAATCGGGCATCCAGCCATCCCAGACAATGATGCCTCCAACTTCATCAAAGGATTCAGGTGGCTCCACGACGAAGCCTCCATCTTATGCAGTTCTCTCCTCCCCTGATGGCTTCTTCAAGCTACAATGGACTTATAACAACAGCAAGATGATATTCAAAATGACTTGTAAAACCACAGGCTGGTGTGCTGTCGGATTTACCACAACTGACGATGGAAGGAACATGGTGAATTACGATATAGCGGTTGCTGGGTACGCTTCTGGTGCAGGGTATATTGATGTAAGTAAATAAAAACTGTGATATCATGGTTGACAAGTAACTCCCTACTTTTGGCTCGTAATTTCAGCGCTAATTTATAATTTCACACTGTGAAATTTCAAAATTACCATAGCAACTTAGGCCCGAAATTTCTCGATACAATGAACAAAGCAAAAACCCACGATTGTAAGTGTAATTTGTCGCCTTTGAAATTAAATGGTAATTAAATGTTATTCTCGTGAAACTAGGAAATAATTGTACTTGCGTTTTGTCAAAATATTACTAATTTCCCTCGCCTGAAGGCTTGGGAAAGAATTTTGACAAAGCGGACGTGAAATTATTTCCTAATTTCACTCTTCACCGTTTGATCACCCATACTAATTGGCCGAAGTAAGAACTAAGAATTTACATAGCGTCAAAATTACAGGCATGAAATCATGCTGGAATTCTTTAAATCCTCTGATCATTTGCAAAAAATAGAAACAGTTTATTTTCCATGAACCATTCTCAACCTTAATGTTACACTAGTTAGTTCAAATACTTAATTCTTAAAGTACAAGACTTGATGGCGTTACGATGTACATGTTAAGACGCGTCTGATCTGGTTAAGCTGGACTAAACAGGACTGTGTCAAACTTGTGCCTCATCAGGTACAAAACGGCACTAAAAAATAAAAATGAGAATGCAATGGAAATCTGGCTAGCTCCGTGAGCGGGCAAGATGTAACCAAATCCTGCACTGTGATTGGCTCGGAATTACCCGCTGTGTCCCGCAAGGAAACAGTGTTCTTTTTCCATTGATCAGATCCTTTATTGATCAAGCTTGTTCGGTCAAGATGGCTGGACATTGGACCTTTATGGATCTTGACCAAACAAGCTTGGTCAATAACCCATATATCTCATACAATGATACAGCACCTCTGGCAAGAAGTACAAAATAAGAGTGAAAAGCTATCTTTCCTGGGAAACTAAAAAGAGAATGATTTCGGGCTAAATCGCTCTTGGTCACTCAATACACAGAATTCAAATTAATTATTACAAATGAACGTGACTGTTTTCTGAATTGTCCCGCAGGATCGCTGGAGTACCTCGACAACCCTGCCTTCAAATGATACAGAGCAAAACTTCAACCTCATGATGGCAAGTGAACAGGACGGACAGACCATGGTGGAGTTTTCCAGAGACGCGCTTACAGGCGACACTGCCAATGATGTGCAGTTTAAGGTATGTTTAAACTAATGAAAACATTTTAGAGAGAAAAAGGAACGAGGCCAGAGAACTTGACGAGCTATTAAGCATTTGGAAATGATCAAACTAGTGTTGAAATAGGTAAGTTAAGAGAAGTCAGGAGCTCTTCGGTTAAGAGAAGTCAAGAGAAGAGCTCTTTTGAGAAATAAAGAACCGACTAATGGGAACATTTTAGAGAGTAAAAGGAACGAGGCCAAAGAACTTGACGAGCTATTAATTATAAACATTTGGAAATGCTCAAACTAGTGTTGAAATAGGTAAGTTAAGAGAAGTCAGGAGCTCTTTGGCTAACAGAAGTCAAGAAAAGAGCTCTTTGAGAAATAAAGAGCCGACAAAGCATGGCTTTGATTAGAAGCCAATTGACGACTTTAACGGATAGAGGAAGCATTGCCGCAAGTGAAAGTGGCTTAGCTGCTGTCGTGGTGTTCTCCAGAAATGCTATTACGGGAGACAATGCCGAAGATATGCAGTTTATGGTACGACTCCATCCTAATGCAAAAATTTTCATATTATGGAAAAGTGCGAAGAAAAATTATTGGTATAAGGCCTATATGGGGGATTCACTCTGTTACCTTTATAATCTTTTGTAGGAGTTCAATCGTAAGTTCTCCCTTACAATGTTACACGTTACGTTTTTGCACGAATTTTTCATTTTAATGTAAGGAAAACTCAAGCCCCCTCCCCTCTCCCCTTCCAAAAAAGAAATAAACGAACAACGGTCGCACATTTTGCGCTGTGTAGCAAAAGTCTATAATTATAGGAGTCCAATCTTGCGGGCTCCTTAACAACGTTACAAGTTCTTTTTTTTTGCACGAATCAAACCCAAACCCTAACTCCCACAGTGCCTCACTCCACACAGGCTCCAGTTGTTCAAAGGGTAGATAAATCTATCCACCGGATGAATCGCTATCCAGTGGATAAATGTTCACAAAACAAACCGCACTATCCTCTGGATAGCGATTTATCCTGTGGATAGCGTTATCCACCTTTCGAACAACCTGGGCCAGGTAATTAAATGATTATCGGCGATTATAATGCTGGGCTAGCTTTTCACCTTTCTGCCGGAACCATTCCAATATATAGAAAAAAAGACCTCCAAATACGGAGCCAGATGTTTATTTCTGGAGATGTAGTGCCATTTTTGAATCAAACTCGACTATGGTACAAGCTGCAATTGTTTTTTTCATTACAATGTTTATCTACAGCTGACTCTTTTGCTTTGCAGAATGATACTGAAGTCAAAGTTGTATATGCTTACAACACCAGCAGTGATGCAAATGGTGGCCTACGTTCAAAGCACACTAACAGAGGGATTTTAGATGGAAAGCACAACCTGATACTGATGGCAATATCCGCCATGCAGCCATCTTCCACAATGATGCCTCCAACTTC